GGGGGGGGGCCACCGAGGCAGCCCATGGGCTCGGTGGGGGGGGGGCGTGTGTGGCCCTTCTCCTGGCGTGGCATCAGGGAGAAGGGCACCGCTGTGTGGGGAGAGGTGTGAAGTGGGGTGCGGGCTGGGGCCACCAAATGCTCTCCAGGGGCTGGCACCTGCCAGCTCAGCAGCCGTCAGTGCTGGGGTGGTCTCAGGCTTCTCCTCTCCGCTCCGTCATCCTCCTCCTCCCTCCTCCTCCTCCTCCTCCCCCCCGCTGGAGTCCTGGGGGGCCCCAGCGACAGAGGAGGGGGGGGCTCAGTGGGCACAGGACCCCACTAGCGTTGGAGTGCCGCTGCTGGGGCTCCTGTGCCTGTGGCCACTGGGTGCTTCTGCCCCTCTGTCCCCTGCCACCCACCTGCTGGCCGGGGAGGCTGTGCTGGACCAGCCAGGGTGCCAGGGCCGTGCCTGCCTCACCCATGTCCAGGCGGCTGTGCTCCACCGTTGACTCATGGGCCATCTGCAGTGGGGAGAAGGCTTGCAGAGAGGGGCTGGCACAGAGCAGCCAAGGGGTCGGGTGCCCACTGAACACCCTCATTGGCCCCCCCCATCTCTGGCAAGGAGGGAAACTGAGGCACAGCGGATGAGCAGGAGGGGCCGGGAGCTGCATACCAGGACGGGGGGTGCCCGGAAGAGGTAGCTGAAGGGGTAGTAGAGGAAGTTCATGAAGGAGGCGGCGTAGAGGTCCGCGTAGCGCATCAGCTGGTTGGCGAAGAGTGTCTGGCGTGAGCCGCAGCGGAAGAGGCTGCCCATCTTCCCGTAGCACATGTCCATCTCATGCGTGACTTTCTGTGGGTGCAGCAGGACAGTCAGGGCACCCCCAACACCTCCCCGGGGTGCCCCCCATGGCGGGGATCGGTGTGGGGGGGCTGAGCTGTGTGCCGGCTGGGATGGTGCCCTGGGCATCACCTGGATCCGACGCTTGATAGAGCTGATGTCCGGGCGCTCGCTGCTGCCACTGTCCAAGTGCCTGGAGTGGGAGACACCCGGCTGGGGGCTCGCCTGGAGGGTCCCCCCATGGGTGCCTGCACCCCCACCGGTGCCCCCTGCCCGCCCTGTGCCCACTCACTGGTACAGCTCCGCCAGGAAGAGGTCCAGGCTCCGCAACTCCTCAAACAGCTCTGCAAGGGCAACAGGGCCGGCTCAGTGTGGGCAACATCCCCAACTGCCCAGCGCAACCGACACGGGGCATCGGGGCACGTCCCACTGGGGCTGGCTTTGCCATCGAGGGGATAGGAGGCTCCGGGCCACTTTCCCCAGCTGGGCTCGGCCATGTCTCCGGCCAGGCAGGGTCCATGTCCCTGGCCGGGCGCTGCTCACCGCTCTTCTCCGTCCAGACCTGCAGCTCGCGGGCCAGCTCGGGCACCACCAGGAAGGTGCGCCAGCCCTGCCGCTTCTTGGACTTGAGGATGTCCCCGAAGATGTGGTCCCCCATGTAGAGGATGTCTTTGCCCTTCACGCCCAGCAGGTCACACACCATGTCCGAGGAGCCTGCAACAACCAGATGTCAGAGGGCCACGGCGCGGGCACATCCCCCCCGCCCGTGCTGCCTGTGGAGCCCGGCTGGGCGCTCACCACCGGAGTAGACAGCGCAGTGCTGGAGCGGGCCAGTGTACGTCCCGATGCGCAGCTTCCCTGTGTCCTGCGGGATAAGAGGCCCCCCGGGGTGGGGGGGTACTGTTACCTGTGCCTGCTCGGTGCCTGCCCAATGGCAAATCCACCCCGCCGTGCCCAAGGGAGCCCCCGCGGTGCCCAGACGGTGCCCACCGCC